ATGAAGGTTGATAGAGGTGTGGGTTTGATTCACTGCCAAGGTTTTGTAAAGATGATCTGATCTACTGCTAGGTTATTGCTCTGTAGATGTAGCTCATTACAGGACACGTTGGTCGTGTCCTGCACTGAACCAACACAAGAATATGTGCTGTTTGCATATAGACACACACCTCTGGTGCATAGGCCTGACATAGAATCACAGAATGGTTAGGGCTGGAAGGGACCTTCAAAGGTCATCTAGTCCAACCCCCCTGCAAGGACATACTGCCACTTTTGCTTAAAATTCATATTGAATGAGGCCAGGCAGAGTTGCTGCAACTATCTGGTCAGCTTTTTTGCAAAATACATATTCTTAGAACGTTCTTGCATTAAAAAAAAAAAAAAAAAAAAAAGATTGTTCTTCATTTAAAAAGTGCTAGTGCTGGCGATTCCACCAAAATTCAGAAATCATGTAATAGTACATATTCCTCTGCATGTTGTCCTCCCCTGCCTCGGCACCCTAATCACAAGATTGCAAATCACATATTTAAGGCTATAAGAATGGATTTTTAGTTCCTTTGATCAGTAGTTTCTGGCCTTCAGGATGCTCACAAGTGTCTTCATAACAATGGAGGTTTTAACTGTCCTTTAAATCAAGCTGTAGCACAACCTCTGGAACCCGTGATGCCTGGTTTCTTACAAATTTGGGTTTCATGACTGAATTCTCTGTGGCCTAATAAGATGCGTGTTCAGAGTGAAGCCTTTCTTATGACTGAGCCCTTCTAAATACGTCCCCTTTTTAGATTCTCTGATATCTAATAACGGTTGAGATTAGGTCCAGTCTCTCCCACTGCAGAAGAACTAATAGGCTCTCCAGCTGCATCCACCTGCCAAATATCATTCTCCCTTAGAAGAGCTGCCAAAGGCAGAAATCCTGTACTGCAGTGCAGCCTTTGTTCAGCTTGTCTTTCAGGTGGCCGAAAGTTCATCTACACGATTAAACAGGCAAAAGCTTTAAAACTGGTGCAACAGAATGTGTAAATTCATCTTACAGATGAAAACAAGTTTTCAGCAGTCTCGTGAAAGGAAAATGACATTTTCAAGTTTGATGTGAACTGTATTATATTTGTCTCTCTTGAGCCCTTCTTTGAATATTTTTTCACAAGCTACTGCATCAAGAAGGGCACACTTCTGATGTGTTGGAGTGAGATATGGTTTGCAAGATTTTCAATCTTTTTAATCCCATCAGGTGCTTCCTCTATTAAGGATTTAAAGTTTCTCATACCATAGCCAATTTAGCCCACAAGGCATGGTTACCAAAGCATCCCCTATAGAATGATAAAAACCATTCTTCCCCTGTACACATAGATTTCAATTTTGTCAGGGTACATCATTCTCCATCTGAATCCAAGGAAGGACTGTCATATAAAGTAGAGCTGCGTTCGTTCAACCGGTTAAGAGAGAGCCCTGTAACAAAAGGTCATTATGGGTCCTGCCTTACTCTGCTGCTATATGATAAGGACCAGAGTAAATTAAATTTCCTGTGACTCACCTGCAGTTGGGGGAAAATTTATTGCTTAGTTGCTGCTACAGCATACGGATTTGTCTCTCCCTGTGTACACAGACACGCAGTAAGTATGCAGAGTCCCACTGAGGAGAACGAGCCTGTTATTTTGCAACAGGCTGTTGTGAAAACACGCTGTTTCGGGGGCACCTGCAGCCTCCAGAAGGAAAGAGAGGTAGCTGGGTAGTGTGGAAACTTCTGCGAATGGGTCAAAGAGCAGTGTTGTTAAAAGCCAGAAAGCAGGTGCACACAATGTCCTTTTTGAGTGGACGGGTGGTGTCAATAGGCAGTCAAACCAGAGCAGCTCTCCTGCTCATTAATTCTGTCGTTCGTTCCACCATTTCCTGTTCATTAACTCCCTCCAGCACATTACTCAGACTCAGTCATTGTCTCCAAAAGGGAGGAGCGTTGAAAGAAAGGGCCAGAGCAAGACCTTGCATTCCCTACCTCTCCCAAGCTATCCTTCCTGCTAGAAAGAAATCAAATAAGCAGTTTACACTTCCTTGGAAAGATAAATGTAAGTCAGGTTTAAGGTAGGTATGTGCCCTCCAGCCAGGATTTACCTTTGTGCTGCTTATTCTGTCAAGAAAACTTGTTTTTTCTGCAGGGATTTTCTCACCCACCTCTGAATCTCACCCATGCTCTAAATCCTTCAGGAAGAACTAAACACAAAAGTCTGCTTTTGTTTTAACTGGCTTTTGTAAGGAGGGCAATTTATTTCTTGTTGCTTTTTTGTGAGCGTTGGTACATTTTAAGTGGGACTGTTATGCTTGGCTGATTGTGGTGGCAGCTTGATGGACTATATGAACACACACGCAGATAGACTGTATAGTTGTCCTCTGAAGACAGTAGCAAACACCTCCCTTTTGGTAGGTATCTGTTGACTTGCCATGGTCCATGTGTCTCAGTGCACTGCTGGACCACAGGAGTGTCGCCTATGGTCCCAGACCCTGTCCAGCATGCACAAAGGGCCAGAGGACCTTCTCTTACACCACTCGTTCAGATCAGAGAGTCAGGTTTAGCAAGTCTCTGCAGAGATACCAAAGCTTTGTGCAGGGAAAGGAGGGTTTGTGGGCTGGAGAGCTCACGCACTTTGGCCACAAAGCACTGTGTCTGCTAGAGTGATATGGAACTGCCAAGAAATGCAGTCTGCGACATAGCTTTTTTATCCATTGTATTGACAGGCATCAGGAGTGGCAACATCTCGTTAATTATTTCATCTCCTTTATCCAGACCAGTTAGCACTGAACTTGTTTTCCTACACAGTACCATTGCAAGGGCTGGGACTGTAGAACCACAGTCAGGCCCCCAGTTTGATCGAGCCGTGGTGTGTCTCAGAGGGCTGCAAGCACAAGGCCAGACTGATGGACCACACAACTTAGAGTTGCTCTGCCCATGTTTGCTTAGGTTGACCCACCAGACTTGGTCCTTTCACACAAAAACGCTGCCTGTGGCTTTTAGATGCTTTGATACAGTTCTGCCATAAGGCACTGATTCAAATTAAACTCACCATTACCGGCTGGCGTAACATTGTAAACACCTTGATCTAGGTGCATTACCCTTTCATGTCAGCTTTGCATGAATGCCCTCAAAGCCATGTAGAGGTTCAGAAGTGATACAGGCAGCAAGGAGAGAGCCGACGCTGTTCACACATTCAAGCAGTTTCTTAGCAGAAAAAGCATTCCCAAATCCATGAGACTTTTCTTAGCAGTTTCCTTTCAGCTTCACTTTATTCTAAATTGCTCCTGCCTGCCCAGTCCCGCACAGTTGAGTAGCCATGGGGTGAGTGTTGTGGTGAGGAACACTCGGTGCTCATAGTATTTTCATTCAATGTTTGCTTTCAAAACGTATAGGGATGGATGGGGGTGATGAAGAACAAAACCAAAAAAGCCAATGTGCGTTATTTAGGACAAACAGACTTGATTATAGATCCTGAAGGTGCTATAAAACTGATGGATTACAGGGTCTCTGGGATTTGAGCTGTCTGGCTTCCACTGTGCTTTCATTGTGTCAGCTCCCCCTCTTTTCATTGCTTTTTGCTGGAAACATTGTGCTGGAGCACAAGTGAAGTGAAGCAGGTCCTGACTAGACCCAACAGCTGCCTTTTGTTGCTGCTGGGGAACCAGCTGTAAGGGGGTAACATAATCGCTCTTCTGTTACCAGTCAGCTGCATATCATAAGCACCTTTCTTGGATGCATGGGACAAGGAGGCAGCTCCTGTGGAGATGTAGATGCTAATTGGGCCCACAGCATGCTATTTTGTGCCCCATTTGACATACTAAGCACTTGTTGTTCTGTCCCATGAGGATAAAGTTGACTGAACGGCTATTCTGCGTCGTTTTTATTACAATGAGACTCGTGTTTCATACATATGCAGTCTTTGCACTGGTTCCTGTATTGAAAGGAATGGTTTCTTGGCTTTTTGATCTGTTTCTCATCTTTTGTGCCGTAAAACTTTACTATGATGTCAGCCAGCTCAGACTTGAAGTGCTCACACTTGGGATGTTGTGGGTTGTTTTCTTTTCCTTTTTTACAAATAAGCAGGTTTTGAATGGGTGGTGGCAGTTGTTTTCAGGAAAAACAGTCTGACCTGAACTCCCACTAGTTCTGTATTTTTCTGTCTGAGATTACTGATTTAAAACCAGGTTTGATGGAAAAATATCTAATAAAGCATAGAAGAATTAATAGAAAGAAAAATTTAACAGCTTACCATCACAGATCATACATTTTAATGAGCAGGGCACTATTTGAATGTACCTGGAGCTGGACTAGGGGTTGTTGTTCTTAGAAAACAGAAACAAACAAAAGATTATGTAAATACTGAAGGCAACTGAGCATCACCAGTGGTCTGGAAATAGCTTGCCTGAGCTTTAGATAGTGATTTTAATATGTGCCCTTGATCACAACAATTGACTTATCTGAACTTCCATTTTCCCCTTATAAAGTCAACTCACTACCCTTTTAAAGTACTTTAAAGCCCCACCTTTGAAAGGGTTGTAACCAGTTAGAGACTGGATATACTGATTCACCAAATACTCTTTGCAGCTGTTTCGGTAGTATGTTTTCTGCTGAGATGAGGAGGAGTATTACAGTATTTCAGTGGCTAAGTACTGTGTTTGGTGGAGTCAGTCTGTATCAGGACATTCAACTAAAGATCGTAGAAGGTGAGACTTCAGAGCCTTTATTGGTTTGGCACAGGGGAGCATATAACATACATAGCATATAACATGTGCAGTACCAGCTGCACATATGAGTACTGTAGGAGATGGATCATGAATAGATCCATTATTGATCAGAGGTGCAAGGGGTGGTGTTAGGTATCTGCTCAGAAAAAAAAAGAAGTAAATGGATGAATGTAAGAAACTAAGTCAGAAACAAAGAACCGTTGCTACCTGTCTGAGTTTCTATGCTGAATGTCTTGAGTGACGCTTCATTTATTCTGCATTTTTATATCCCAGGTTCAGGTTCAGCGGGCGTATTCTCGGCCTTGCTCTCATTCATCAGTACCTTCTTGATGCTTTCTTCACAAGGCCGTTCTACAAAGCACTACTAAGGCTGTAAGTATAAGCATGCAACCGTGCAGAAACCATGCAGAAACAGTGATCCTGCAGTGAGTCCTACAGAGACATAGACCCTTGTGGAGTTGCTTTGAGCAAGGACCTTCAAGTCCTTTCTGCTGTTGGTTGGTCTGTGATAGAAATCAAACATGTTTTAATTTTTCTTTACTTTCTCCAAGAACTTGCCCTTCGTCAATATTGACTGTGTTGATAAAGATGCGTAATAAGTATGACGTTTAGGAACACACATTTGAAAGTACTGATGCATAATTCCAGAGTTGACTACTGATGAAAAGTTATCAAACTTGAATTACGTGGAAGACTCAAAAGCATCTTTGATGAAACAAAACAACAATAAAAAAAGGAGAGGAGGCTCATATTAAGAAAAATACATAATTTCTCATGCCTCACTGGTGGAGTAGGTTTTCATTCTATACACAACTCAGGTTAATTAGGAACACTAATGTAGATATAAACAGTGAATGTTTCTTGTTGGTCTTCTACTGTCTTTTACACTAGTAGGCAGAAGCTGCCGGTAATATATTACCTTCAGTGTCAAGTTTATAAGGTTAACTTTAATTAACAATCTGTCCCTCTTGAATTAATAGGCTGCAGTAAGACAAGGTACATAAAATCTGCAGCAATAAGAAAAACCATAAGTCAAGACTGCAATTAAATAACAAAAAGCAGAGTAAAGCTTAGCTCAAATGGTTTATCATTTAGGATGATTCCAAATCAGCAAAGATATTTGTCTTAACAGTCTTTTGAGTTCTTTAACTGTACTTAAATGTTAGTTTTTTAAATAATCAGTATTTCTGGGATCCAAACACTCGTATCTGTGTTGTGTTTGAGCTAGTCTGGAAATAGTCTGAAACCTAGAGTTCTCCCTGCATCCTTACTGCCACTTTAGGGGGTTTGAAACCAGACTGCTCGTAACATCCACCTGCCCTTTCAGCAAACAAGGCCAACTCCTTATTAGCCAAAATTTAGGCTGTGTGATCTGCCTTATGTCAGTCTTGTGTGCACACCTCGAGGATGATAGATACATGGAAGCGGCCAGGCACAACATGGTGGGGCCCATCCGGACTGGAGGTAAGCCTGTGCTCTGAAGTGCATGGCATCCTGAAGATTCACGTAAAATCGAGCCCCAGGGGTGCCTTCCGACAGCAAATAGTGCAGGCAGCCCACAGATTTGGCCTGAGCCCAGCCACGCAACGCAGACAGTTGCAGAAATGCTTTAAGATGGTCCATGTAACAGGCTTTGATGTTAACAAAACCAAATGAACACCAGACTTATGTTGGATCTTCAGCATAAATTTATTTACATTCTTAGTAGTAAGTCATCCTGCCAATAGTTATGGGATCATATATTCAGCTGCATCTTTTTTCTTGCCTCATAATCAGGCCGTGTGATTTAAGCGATTTAGAGTACCTGGATGAAGAGTTCCATCAGAGCTTGCAGTGGATGAAGGATAATAACATCACAGATATCCTGGATCTCACCTTCACAGTGAACGAGGAGGTGTTTGGACAGGTGAGCACAGCTATGCAAAACATCTGAAGAGCAAATTTGAAGCTGACAGAGTTGAGCATGATGAACATCATCTGTCAGAACAGATTCTTTAGCCTTTCAGTAACATTTTCTTCTCCTACCTTCTGTTTCTTTCAAGCCACCTGTTTGAATGCAGATGTTTATTCTTAGGGTGTGTAATATAAAATACCAGCCCCCCTACAGGCCTATTGAGCCACACACTGATGAGCATGAGGAATTCTCTGGAGTGCAGGTCTTCTCTCCAGGGCATAGTTCACACAGATGTGGCATTCGGTGAATGCAAGCAATGTAACTTAAAGCTGATGTGACTGAAAGGGACGGGGGTTAGGAGGGAAGAAAAACATTTGGCAGGTGGTGTAAGACCTGGCAACTCTCACCATTATTTTGTCTTATATATCCCTGTTAAATCCTGTGTCTCTTACTTACCTTGCAGCTACTTAACCACTTGGAATGTACATCCATTTATTACGCTTTCTACCAGTCAACTCTACCTTAGTCAGACAATTCTCTTTAACCTAGCTGATCTAGATAACTACAGCCTTAAGTAGAGCAAACCTAGCTGATCTAGATAACTACAGCCTTAAGTAGGGTGCAGCCCTGGCTTAAGTGCAGACTGACAACCAGAACAAGTGTCTCCTGTAGTGTTCTTTGTCTTGTACTGAAGCCCTGGTGCTCTTTGCTGTTATAACCTTTGCTAGATTATAACTGTCTCTGGAATGCCTTGAAGGGACTCAAAGCAATATCCAGACCAAGATTAAGGATCTCCACAGGGATACAGAAAACTAGAGAGACTGAGGAACCAAACTCACCAAGTACTGCAGAAACTCAAGGGATGGAAGTTAACTTGTGTAAGGAGCAGACACAAAGTGTTGAAGGGAGCCGAGAGATAAGGTGGAATGTACAGAGAGTGGCTCTTAGACCTTGAAAATAAAGTTGACAGGAGGAGCTTGCACAGAGCTAGCGGGGAGTTAGACTAGTTTCTGAGGGGAGGAATTCAGGCTCTGAGAGTAAAAGGGCTGCTCTGCTATAAGCTTGAAAGTAGCAGAAAGGAAGCAAGACTTCAGGGGATGTATTCAAAACTGAATTTAGTCTGCTTATAGTGCAAGGTCATGATGGATGAGCCGAGTTAAGGGTGGATGAAAGGAAAGGATAGGGCAGAAGAACTGAAGTAAGAAGCCTTTGTAGAAAAGGTAACACCATTTTTCCACAGACTTACATGCAAGGGTTTTTTCACGGGCTTTGAGCTTGCATGACATTCAACAGACAGTACAGTCCAAGTACCTGGAAGGTATGGCTATACAAGACTAATACACAAAGACAGACAGAATCATACAGAAATAATCACAAAGACGGATGAGACAAGTTTGTATTTACATTAGGAAACTACAAAGATGAATAAGAATCTCGACCTGAATTGCTCTGATGCATCCGAAGGTAACATTGGACACACTGATTACCTGTTATGCTAAGAGAAGAGCTAGACCATTACGTAAGAGTCTGCTGTGGAAGATAAGAGATGGCTCTAAAGAGAATAGAAAAAAATCACAATCTGTTCTAGATACTGTGATACGAAAGCAAAAGTACACTGAAAGCCAGATTTTTATGCCAGCTCACATGTTGTCCAGTATTTTATTTCATAAGCACTAGACACTAACCTTACTAGATCTAGTGATGGAGAAAAAATGGTTCTCGCTGTGAATTACAACTGTTAGAATCCAAGAGTCCTAAGAGAAAGTGAGATTTCCCCTCTTCTGAAATTGGCTAAGTGCTGACAGCAAAATAACAAAGAAATTGCAATCACTTTTATGCTCACAGATGGAACCCAGTTGGAAATTCTTGCATGCCAAGAGTATCTGACCACTTAAATGCCGTCTGAACATGGCTTTTGCTGGATACATGTGCAAGTGTAGATCGCAGTGGGAGTTCTGCTAATATTTGGGAAGCTGGATTTCAAGGGTTGGGTAAGAGAAACAAGAAACAGTGGCTCTCTGAGAAGCTGTGTGGTTAGATGGGTTACAGCCCCTTTGTCCTACTTCCACAATGACTTTATTATGGACTGGTCACTACTACTTTCATTTTTTCTTTCTGGTCTCATATCTGACATGTATTTAGGTTTTAAACCTTTTGGGCCAAATCCTCTTTCTTGGTACCTTTTATTAGCATTTATTACTGAGAAGCTCTAGGCTTCTGGCATACTGGAGCACTACCGTAATAGCAAAGATACTGTGTCAAACCAAGCATCACATGTTTTTACTGATACGGACTGGGTGCCAATCTGAGAATTTCACTTATTAGACTGAGAAAGGCGTCAGTTGCTTGAGACCCTAAGTACTTTCTCATGCTTTTACCCAGTAGAAATTGTTCTTCCAGGCTTGTTTCCGAGCTCTATATCTCTCTATGTTGATAGGGCCTGCCTCCTGAGCCCTGGCAATTGCTCTAGTCAGGTAAAGGAATGGACTAGATGGGTTGAAATGTCTCCTTGCTACTCTGAAACCTGATTCAGAATTCCAGCTCGCAGCTGTGGTTAATGCCTCCTATGAACAAGAAGGAAAAAATAGGGACACATTGATATTGATTGCCTGCCTCCAATTCTAGATAACTGATTGTTTTTGAAATTATATGGCTAATGAGAAGTTGAAGAAATCACCAGCATGTCTAGGTGTTTGTGGGAAGCCTTGCAGGAGATGTAGAACATCTGGACTTATGGTCATGCTTAAAGCCAGACAACGTTTAGTCATTGTTTTTGATAGATGTATCTTAGTGCCACACAGTCTTGAAGAATATAGTATGGCAGCTGGGCCAGAGTCTTACCCTTTGGATGATGCAGCATTGCTTGTATAATGGTGATGCAGTGATGTACGTTTGGGAATTTAACCTAAACCAGCTAAGAATTCCTAACTCCTTACGTCCAGCCTTACTTGTTCATGCTGTTTCTCCACAAAGCTACAGATTAGATGACTCACTGAGTGTTTCCATAATTCATAACGTTACAACAGGTCCCTCAAGCAAAATGACCTAAATACTGTATATGCTGTGTGCTGTCTGTTGGGCTAATAAATAGATAATAATATAAATAATATGTAATTAACACAAATAATGAATATGTATTCATGCAGCTCATTTACTATGTGTGCTAGACATCATTGTTATAGCAGCAGAAAACTGCAGGAGAGCAAAACATTCTTCCTTTTAAATCCACTAGATTGAATGTGAAAATAATTGCAAGATAAATATTATTTTCTGTCACATGTGAGGAGTATGTGCTTGCTGGGTAGAATCTAGATTGATTCCTTAAATCCCTTCTCCATCTTAACCCTTAGTAACCCAAGCCAACTAAATTAACCATTAAAATGCAGTGAAATGCTATACTTCTTGGTGTTGTTTTTTTTTTAAAAAATATTTACAGTACAAGCACTTCTCAGGTTTGGATGGCTGATACAAAACTCTGAATCCCACAGTGACTATATTTGTGATCTGTGTAGGGTGCTGTACAGGTCTTGTTTAGGTAGTGTATTGGGAATATTCATTTTATGATAATTTCTTTGGCTATTGGCATTTCTGAGTAAACACCTTTATTAGCACTTGGGGAAGGGTAACACTTGTGGCCTAAGAGACAAGTAGATAACCCTTCCAGTTGGCGAAACAGTCTGCCTATTCCAATACTGAGACTACCTCTCCATCCTGTTGTTTCCTGCACCGTTGCTTGGATAATCCACAGCAAGCGAGCTGGTGTGGTTGTCACCCTCTCTGCAGCTCCTAGTTGGGAAAGGGAGAGGAGAAGGATGAAAAGATGGACCAGAGTGGCACATTGTATGTGGCTTACGGATGGTGCTCTGCGAATCAGTCTTTGCTGGAACAGCTTGGAGTAACCTAAAGGTCGGTCCAGCATCAGCTGGGGATAGGGCTAGGACTGAGAGGGTGTCCCTCATTGTACTTTTTGTTTCTACTGCAAATGGGCAAGAGGCCAGGAGTCCAGAACTAGAAACATGGCTGTTATATTTTGCACTTACATTTTCAAAGTACAACTGAAATTTGAAACACAGTGTGGTCCGTACTTTGCTACACCACTATTTATCTTTGTTACATAGGTGACAGAGAGAGAGTTGAAATCTGGCGGGGCAAATACAGCAGTGACAGAAAAGAACAAAAAAGAGTACATCGAGAGAATGGTTAAGTGGCGAGTGGAACGAGGAGTGGTTCAGCAAACAGAGGCCCTGGTCCGTGGCTTCTACGAAGTAAGTAACAAAACGATTGTCCCACAGTTTTCCATTCCTCATCTGAATGAGATGACCCCATCGTTAAACTACTCTTCGTTGGTACCATAGGAAATAGCTAAACAGATACAGATGGCAAGAAATTGGAATGCCTGGATTTGTAGAGATAGCAACCCTGGATATGGCATGTTTAGCATTAAGGGAGAAAGGAAAGAAATGTGCATTCTGAGTATGATAAAGCATGATGATCAAGAGTCGAGAAAGATACTGCTTTCCATTCACATAGTAAGAGAAGAAGACGTTTGCAAATTTTGTTTTACTCTGCTGTGACACAAAAGGAGATTGTGAAGAATTGTACACTTCAGTCAGGAGCTGGTGTGACACACTGTATCTTTAGGGACTCATTCCAGTAAAGTTGGTCCTAGGATGCAGTGAGCTATTATCTTACTGGTGTTCATGCATGCTCCTCCATTGTTGTCCCTGGATTTAGCTAATTTATCTTTTCTGAAGACCTGGATCTGAGACCATCCTTCTGACAGAGCTCCTACAAGGACTGCCAAAGGCTGGATGAAAACCCGTGGCTTTGCTGACCAACCCATGTAGTCACCGATTCTTGCCTCCTTACTAATCATATTCAAACATTTATCTTGCCCTGGCAGCTGTACAATATAAGGAGAAGTTGAGGGCTATCTCACAGAGGGAAATAAACTGAATGGCAACCCCAGAAAATGAAACAGCAGATGATGGACACGCAGAATAGTCCTGGTAACTGATGGCTCCAAGCAGTGGTGCGCTGACATTTACTGGGTATGGAACCCAGTGAGGGTGGCTTTGTAGCTGAACAGACTCGGTCAGCCCTTTCCTGTAGAAAGAGATTGGCCAAGTGACTCCATACGATTTACTGAAGTGTGCATATGGTTCACCAGCTTTGTCTCCCTGTGAATACTGGGCGCTGTTAAAGCTTTTGGTTTCACATAATGAAGAAAGTGAACCTCAGCTGCATCTTCAGTGGATGAAGACCTGAGAGCACTCTTACACAATTGTAATAGAATTCTAATGTGAAACAAATATAAAATATATTGTCCATATTACAAATCCAATCTTTGACTATCAAAATCACTTGTCAGAATGAATGTAACAATGAAGAAAGTTCTGCACAGATTATGTCCCGTCACTTGTATTGTTTCATTCTGATCAAATCTCATGTGTCATCATTGTTTGCAGCTCAAAACATCAGCAGACTCCCTGAAGTAGAGCACAGATTGATCATCAGGGAAGTGGAAGTTAGCTGTCAGCATGCAGGCTTTGTCAGAATAAAGAGCTGGCCATCAGAGCCATAGGTTTATGAGACCTTGCATCTGCTTTATTTCCAGTCTGAAACTGTGCTGACAAGTGTTTTTTGTTCCAGGTTGTAGACTCCAGGTATAGGTTTATGAGACCTTGCATCTGCTTTATCTCCAGTCTGAAACTGTGCTGACCAGTGTTTTTTGTTCCAGGTTGTAGACTCCAGGCTCGTGTCTGTTTTTGATGCCAGAGAACTGGAGCTGGTTATAGCTGGCACTGCAGAAATAGATCTCAATGACTGGCGTAACAATACAGAATATCGTGGAGGTAAACTGCCTGCTGATGGCTTCCTACTGTCTCAACTGTTTTCAATCTAAAACACGAAAGACTTGGTCCATCATTTCCTTCTGTCTTTCCTGAGGGAAATGCCCTATTTTATTCAGGAAGTTTTTGTGAAGAATAACTCATGAAATAAACTAAGTAGGGTCTCAGGTTTGGATCAACCGATGCAATAATACTGACCTTGCTTCTGCTGCTTCTATCCAGATTTTACCCACTCGGTTCCTACCGACTTCACAGGAGTTTTGTCTGTTAAGAATTGAAACGGATTTGCAGTATTAGGTCTAAAAGTTACTCAGAGGACTGTGAATGAACTCCTGGCCTCACTGAAAGTAGTACCACAAGTCCTCTTGGCTTCAGCAGGGAGCTGCATTCAAGAGATGAATTTCATGGTTCCCAATTACACTTCAACAAAATACAGATCTTGCTTACCCATGCCCTCAACCTAAACTATGTCAAGTTGGATTTTTTCCCTTTTCCTCTAATGCTCAGCCTGGTTTTGCTTTAAACACTGAGCATTATTTATCCAGTCTGTCTTGGATGATGGATAAATGTGAAATCCACTAGTTCTGCACAATAAAAGGAAAGTCCCTGAGACTCACATATCCTCCTCTGAATACAAGGTTTAAGTCTTTGCTCACTGCCCAGCCTTTGTGTTACCTTGAAATTCACAGCTTACCATAAGCACAGCTGGTCCCCCAAGTTATTCTCCTCCTTTTTTCTGTTTAGCTGTTGAAACAGATTCAGCCTGGGTTTATGCTGGCTTTCACTAGCACAAACCAAGGCACAGAGCTCCTCGGGTGGGAAGTTTGCCAGGAAAGGACTCACGGCAGCAAACTCCTATCCATATGTTGAACACTGTTGCAATCCAAAAGAGAATTTATTTGGGATCCAGAAATTCTTAAGTCATTAGGACTCGCGCTGTGTGGCGTATCGCAGTTGGTCTTTTGTCCCTCGTGCGGGTAACCCCAGTTCCTGCCAAGAGACTTGTGAGAGGCCAACATACCTCAAATATATATATATTTGAGCTTGTGTTTCAAATGAGTTAGTAATAGTATAATGTCCACAGCCAGGGCAAGATGAGGGCTGGGACCTACTGCTCATCAAGAACAAGATATATTGTTGGGTCAGGATCTTTTCAGTAGGAGATCTACTGCCCCATGCTAGTGGGAGCATATTTCGACGTTACACTTCTAACTTAGAGGGCGTGATTTTGATTTCTCTCTCTTGCCTCTTGGTTTAGGATACCATGATGGACACATAGTAATTCGGTGGTTCTGGGCAGCAGTGGAGAGATTTAACAATGAGCAGAGACTCCGGTTGTTGCAATTCGTCACTGGAACATCAAGCGTGCCATACGAGGGCTTTGCAGCTCTCCGAGGGAGCAATGGACTACGGCGCTTCTGTATAGAGAAATGGGGGAAAATAACCTCCCTCCCAAGGTATGTCCCAACTAGGATAGAAAAACAGAGGTGCTGTGAGAAAGGTGAGCCTGGTACTTTTTTGCATCTCTCTGCCAGTGGAAGATAGTGAATACAGTAAGGACATCTTAAAACAGCAAAGAAACAATTTTCAGTTTGTTTTGTAATTACATTCACAGAAAAGTGGGGGGGGTTGCTGCCTTTCTGATTTGCAAGCTTAATTTAAGCTACTTTGAATCCTGGGAAACGGTTAAGATCAAGATTTCCATAGGTCCGAACCTAATTTTCTCATTTTGATTCTGGAACAAATCCAGACCAGCAGGTGCCTGTCAGCTGATTCTGTTCCCTTTACTTCCAAAATACTAGTAAAATACTTGTGAGTTTACAGAGCCATGAAAGTCAGCATCTGTCTCAGAGTTTTGGCCAGACACCTGAGTGTAATCCCTTCATTTGCTCTGATGATTCCACTTTTTCATCATGAGGAAGCTTAGTGCAGGGACTTCAGACCATGTGGTGATAATACCCAATTTGTTACATCTAGTTCAGTTAGCCAACTAGGAGCAAATGAGCCGTAATGTCATAGAGAATCAACAGACTTCACAGTGCTTCCCAAAGAAGGGGTCCTCTTCCTTTTCAGAACAAAGAGACTGGGGCACAGAGGGGTGGGCTGACTTGCCTAAGGCCACCCAAGAGAGCCATGGCTCAGCCAGTGATACATTCAGCTTCGAATTCTGCTCCAGCGCTTTATCTGTGACCAGCACTCATCCTTCCTCACTGCAGCAAGTCACCTTTTCTTCAACATCCTTACAGTTGCCTGATGCTCTGCCCCATTGAGAGTACACAGCGTTTTTCATGGGACCACATCTCAACACTTCCAAGATACTTTTGCTACATGACCCTTTTACATGACATTTGCCCTCCAAAGGATGCTTTCTTCCTACTCTTATTGTTTACTTTCAGCTGCAGTCCAAAGGAGGCTACTTTCATGGCACAGATTAAAAATATCTTCTCATAGACCTTGCAGATATATTCAGACAATCAGTTAACAAGGGATCTGGTCCAGTTTCCAGTTTAGTTGCCATCCATGTTGTTTACCCATAAGCACACAATAAGACATGGACTTGAGCAGACTTCCAGAGTCCTCTGGAGAGGGAAGGTCCAAATACGGTCACCTTCTTAGTACAAGCCTGCTCAAGTCCATGCTTATGCAGTGAGGAGACACAGGAGCTGGACCAGGGCATTGTACCAACAGACATTCTGAGCTGACATCTTACACTGACTCCCTCTCAAGTCAGAAAAAGGCAAGTAAGTGTTTTTAAGGCACAATTCATCTCACCTGAACACAGCCTTTTGAAATAGCTCAGTCGAATCGCACTTGGTATATGTTCTGATTTATGTCCGTCAACCATAAAGACTCTATGGAGACAATATGGTGAACTAGAGCTTACATGAAAGCTAGATGTAGGCACAGAGATTTAAAAAGACTTGAAAACTCGTAAGATCAGTGAGATGACTCATGCCCTCCAAGCTTCAGCCAGCAATGTGGAAAGAAAGCCTGAGAGTGAGAGTTTGCTGTGCGTAGGCCTGATTTTGCAGCATATATATAGTCTGGCTCTACGTAAGGATTTCAGAGCTGACCGAGGGCATTCCGCAAATGGAAGTCACAGACTGCTGCAGCGTTTCTGCAGAGCTCTCTTGGCGTTCCTTCGGGGATGGAGCGGGGAGGGTGGACCTTGGCGCTTGCACATAAAGTGCCCTGGGCTGACCCATCAAGTTCTGAAAAGGTAATTGGCCTCTTTCTGCTCTGCTTAACTTTCTTTGTGAACCTGGGCATCGCTTCTGACCTAGATGCAGTTGGCCCCGAGATATTCGGGTTAACGACTATGTGTTTGTCTGCTGATGGCTGAACTTGTTGCTCTCCCTGAAAGGGGCCTCTTCTCCAGGTGAAAGTTGTTAGCACCTTTTAGAAGTATTAGAGCTCTGCATTCATTCCAGCTGGGGGAAAGAGAAACAACACTTGCTTATGGGGAATAAACACAGTTTGATCACCGTGAATTATTACCTGCATTTTTATGAAATTATGCAGTGCTGCCAAGTATACACAGTGCTAAGAAATACATAAAACACACAGGCTAAACCTGGAGGCTCTCTAAATCCTAGTTAAGTAACTAAATAAATGTTATTTTAAACTTTTTTTTTAATGCCTGATTATGGATTGCTTGTGTTTATTTAGATTTACTTACGTATTTACTTAGACTTAGAGGCTAAAAAAAAAGTCATACATCATATCCTGTAGGCCTTTTGGCCCCTGTGATATGACTGTTTCTAACTTTAGCTGTTTAAAATAAACCATAACAAATTCTCTTGTCCGTCTAACGATTCCTGCAATTTCACAGTGAGTTACCCTTGCTTCACATTTTCAAAGTCCTAGGAAAAACAAAGCAGCTTTCTCATGTCTTAGGAATCATCAGATTTAGGCGTTGATGTGCTTAGGTGTGGATTGCACCTCATAATTACCTTATTCCTTAGAAGGCCTTAGTCCTTAGGCCCTGACCCAGTAAACGTGATGGTCTGAGAGGTGTTATGGAAGCTTGCATAAAGCTTCCGTACATTTGGCTTTCCTGACATCCAGGGAGATGGTGGGTCTCTGGGAACAGGGTTAGTCTGGCCTCTGGGTTTTCAGCTGCTTTACAAAGTTATCGAGATAACTTTTAGCTCTATCAGGAGAGGCCAGGACTCTCTCTGTATTCTCTCACTCCTGCTCCAGATGGCTGAAGGTAGTAAGGTGACTCTCTGTTTCATCTTGTCTTTACGCTTTAGCAATAGAGCATGCAACTACCATTTGCTTATGGTGAGCAAAGATGTGATAATACCTAAACCAGTCGTGCTTTTGCACTTGAGACAGCAATGTGACACTCCCAGAAAAGAGGCATGGTGTAAATTTCTAAAATGCAACACTTTTTGAAGAATGACTACTAATACATAATGCCTAGATTGCTTCTTGAAAGCACTGAATATAAGCCAGACTTTTTCAGGAAGGCTGAGAATCCGGTAACTTCATTCTAAATTGGTGCACTTGTTCATCAGTATCAGTTCCCCTACATGAACAGGGCAATAGTAGTGTAATATGTTCATGTAAGGCAAATAAGAGTTAGATTACACCAGTGGTTTATTTCTGGAGTATGCCTGTGTACCAGATACATTATTCCTATTATATTTACTTGAAGTCCACACACGTTAGAAAGTCAAAGTACTATACATCTTAGAGATACTGCTCTAATCCCACATCTCTAGGTGATGACCCTAAAACAGGTTCCAAAGAGACTGACAGATCTGTAAATCTGGCAGTGTAAATCTGCAGCATAGTTTCTTCCAAACTGATGTAGCTTGTCATATGAAATAACACTGACGAGGTAACGGGTTCAAACATTTGTTCATCAAGGTTGAATTTTACTCTCCCTATCTAATACAAAAAACTTTCTTCCAGAATAAAGGAGTTACGTGTTTTACTTCTTGTAACTGGTTGCCTGAGTCAGGATGGATGGAGAATTCTTGCAGCTATAGCCTCTTCTGAAGCAGGAATCCTCCCTTCACCTTTCCTGGGTCATGCAGATATTTAACATGGAACCAGTTTTGGTAGCAGTTTTGCAAGAACTTATTCTTTGTTCCACACCAAACATTAATGAACAGGGACTGGCCTTCTAGCTGGAATAACATACCTTCATCTGATATTGTGGGAGCAGAACTACTGGCCCAAAACAAACCTGTGCAAAGAAGGGTTGTTTTCTACTATAGCAATAGGAGATAGAATCATAGAATGGTTAGGGTTGGAAGGGACCTCAAAGATCATCTAGTTCCAACCCCCCTGCCATGGGCAGGGAAATCCTCCACTACACCAGGTTGCCCAAAGCCTCGTCAAACCTGGCCTTGAACACCTCCAGGGATGGGGCAGCCACAACTTCTCTGGGCAACCTGTTCCAGTACCTCACCACCCTCAATGTAAAGAATTTCTTTCTTATATCTAACCTAATCTGCCCTCTTTCAGTTTAAATCCATTGCCCCTTGTCGTATCACTACATGCCCTTGTAAAAAGTCCCGCTCCAGCTTTCCTGTAGGCCCCCTTTAGGTACTGGAAGGCTGCAATAAGATCACCCCAGAGCCTTCTCTTCTCCAGGCTGAACAGCCCCAACTCTCTCAGCCTGTCTTCATAGCAGAGGTGCTCCAGCCCTCGGATCATCTTCGTGGCCCTCCTCTGGACTCGTTCCAGTAGCTCCATGTCCTTCTTGTGTTGGGGACTCCAGAGCTGAACACAGTATTCCAGGTGGGGTCTCACGAGAGCTGAGTAGAGGGGCAGAATCACTTCCCTCGACCTGCTGGCCACACTCCTTTTGATACACCCCAGGATATGGTTGGCTTTCTGGGCTG